CTGCATACCGACATACTAACATGTTGCATTCATCGTTCATTCGCATTTGAATCCTTCAAACAGCAATAAAATCAATGATGAGATGAAAACTGTTCCTACATGTCACATCGGTTGAGGTTAGGCAGGAAGGCAAAGAGAAGTCTTAAGCTCTTATATAACTGAAATTGCTGGTAGATCACTTCCTCTTCATCTGGTCCTCTTCTCTCTCTTTCCTTGCACATTTATTCATTTATGACATCAGTGAGACCGTCTGTCAGATGTCAACGAGATGTATAATGTCGGAAGACAAGAACCATCCAACCTCTGTAAAAAACAGTGCTGGCAATGATGGTAGAGAGAGTAGCACATCGAGTCACAATTGTCATTTCGTTCTTCCAATTAGATTAGCTTTCAGAGCTTTCAATGATTTATGCTATTTCAAGAAAATTCTCTGATGAACAAACACATATATAAATGAACATGGCATTGTCTTAAATAAATATACATAAAAATACGGGTAACTGACAAAAATTAGAGAGGGAGATTAAAAAAGCAAGCGTTCCTGTCGACGCACTTCAAATTGTTCTCCATTTTATGTGTGGGCGCTGATTTAAAAGATGTGAAGGAATGAGGTGAGAAGAAACATCTCGAAGTGATAACGGCAACAATGGTAGCATATCAGTGTGATATTATCAACGTGATATTGTTCCAGACCGAATAAATAAGAACCCTGACTCTTGTAATTTATGGTTTTCTGTTTGCTAACCCGCCACCCCTTCCATGGGAAGAAGAAGCTGTACGGTGAAATTGGAATACTCTCAGATATGTCTTACTAATCGCGACGAAGATGCCCGTGGGAGCATCGTTGCTTACCCTACTCGACCGCCTCCTTTGCAATGGGCTACAGTTTGCTACAGTTACTTACAGATTGATCCATGAACTTGGCTATGTTAAACACAATTCTTACCTAACCCGCAGCTATGTTAAGGTTGCAACAACCGCTATTAAACCTCGAACGATGAGAAGATTGAAGCGTTGAGCAGCATTTGATAGAAAAAGAAACGCAGATTATGGAATAATTTGTCGTCTATTTCAATGACGCCAAGACGTTCATCGATGAGATTCTGAACCCGCAAAGCAGTGAAACATATTCAATATTGCATATGACGCTATACCCAATGACTCTTTGCAACAAGGTAATTTCTCATCTTCTGCAACCAGGTAACAATCTCTGGAACCGATTATGACTGATACACTATCTGTAGTCCCTACTGATAGTAGCAATAGTCGTAAAAGCATTGAACAAGCTAACATTGACCATACGCCATCCCTCCTTGTTCACTGGAATTATCAGTCCAATAGTCTTCTCAATAGGAAGAATAAATTTAGGTAGCACTACTGCTTCTGCTTGATACTCGCGAGAAGTTCACATTAGGGATGAGGAAATAAAGCCTACAGCCGACTGACCCATCGTATAGTATGTTGATTTCTCGAAGGTCAAACAGCATTTATTAATCACTATATTATGCTGTCAGCTATATTTGTTGCTCATCTACACTTGAATCATCGTAAAACGTTCATGTTAGATTTATCGAAATTGAATTTTGTCTAATAATAATTCCATTAACACTTCGAGTAATAATAAGCCATTAACGTCATAAGGCATTAAGAAGTGAATTTTTCCCCAGACGTAGTTAGAACATTTTCTGGGACTGTAGTATTAAGCAAATCAATTCGTAGCCTTTTACTCATTAAACTTATGACAAATAGTAATTGAATAGAACAGAAACGGAAAATAATTTGTACAAAAACAGCTTTGCTTTGATTGGGACCTGGATATTCACCGTAAAAGGTTATGCTAGATTTGTTGAAATTAAATTTTGTGCTAATTGACTAACGAAAGGTGCAACTATTAATCAACTGACGTCACAAACATTTAAAATCTAAATCTCGATAATACTAGTACTAATAATTTAGTACCAATATTTCATCAAACAACGCAAATAGGATTATTTAGTTTAAATATTTCATCATTAGATTAAATGTTTCACCCATTGACATTTAATTTCAACTATTCATTAATTTCTACTTATGCATTTATGCAAATGCTACCCTATTGTATGAATGCAGTTTAAAATTTGTCCCATCCTTTCAAACATCAAATATTATCCCAGCATATGTTGAAAATTTTTTTGATAATAGCAGCAATAGCAATGGATCTATGTCCAAAAAGCAATAATTATCAAATTTCAGGTGATGCGCCCATCCCATAAAGTTCCATGAGTGATACTATGAGTAGGATGCAACATTGATTTTATTAAATGAATCAAATTAAGTGCTTAAAAACGCCAATTGCTTTTCCACATATTGAAATAACCTATCAGTATCCAAAGCATCAGATTTACGTACATGCTATTATAACGCTTCTTTTCGGTTCACAAAACACACATAAATACCAGTCGGGGGAGAGAAAAGCGAGAATTTAAAAATATAACAAACAATGGACAGATTAAAAGCTGTTTAAACCTTTGATCTTTAATTTCAACCAATCTGAAATAAAGAGCTTTCGTGTGAGCATTTCTGTCATTTCACGAAATTTCGTGTTTCACTATGTTCTTCACTATACCTATGACACCAATTATTTGGCTCAATCTTTTGCTTTGCATCATCTCTGAAAAAAATAAAACTTTCCCTATAATTAACCCCGATAAAAGTGATGAAATTATCACATATACTACTCATTCTGGCACCTCAAACAGCTTTGATATCCTCGATTACAACAGTTTTGAGCCATTATTTGGCTCAGAATTTCCATCCGATCCTTCGCAGTTGATTGATTTCGATCAGTTGAGTGAAATTGAGGATATAAGTAGCAAAGAATCGATACCCGAGATCACAAATGCTCCTCATCCTGGCTTTTCAAACAGCCATGGTTTGTTGGGCCACACTAATTTGGGCTCATTACTTGGTTCATATACAGATTCAAATAGGAATGTGTGGAGAGATGCTAATCCGATCTATTTTCACCAACTTACTCTTTCCCCAGATGACACAACCGATCAACACGGAAATGCTGAACAGAATAACATGGGCAAGAAACACTTCTCGGATAACTTGATTGTCCGCGACTACAGGGAAAATGAAGGATCAGAAACAAGTAATGGCAAATTGCATTTTTACTTTCATCCAATCCATAAAATTAAACATATCTATCTCACTAAAACAAAAAATCTACAATTATCGATCGAAATTCCAGAAGTAACTTAAAAGTATAATTTTTACTTCAAATATGTGAGATGACGATATAGACAAATGCTTAGTACCTAAGATATTGAAATCTAAGTTATTTAGATACTCAAAGTGGAACTTCTTCGCCACTTAATGTCGACACCGATGACATTATTACATATATGCACTTACCTGGTTCACAACAAAATGCGGTTCCGATCTATTTTCACCAACTTACTCTTTCCTCGGACGACACATCCAGTCAACATGGAAATACTAAAGAGAGCAACATCGATAACAAACACTTCCTGAATAGCTTGAGTACCCACGACTGCAGGGGAAATACCAGTGAAGGATCAGAAACAGGTAATGATGAATTGCGCAACGATTTTTCGTTCTATCTCTTATAGTATTTCATTTTCATTAACAGCATGAAATTGTAGAAGTAATAACGAATCAAAAACCAAAACTCATTTCGCCGTTCAGAAGGCGATATTAAAAATATTATCATTGCTTAAAACATGTGAGAAGATAAGTAAATAACTACTTGTTACCTAAGTTATTTAAAATTCGATATGATATTTTTTTTATGGCACTGACATTTTTGTGATTTTCACATTACTTAACTACAAAATGGTATAATAGATTTATTAATTGCAAAAATACATTTTTTGACATGGATTTTTCAGATAACAAAAAGTATATTTGTCATTATCCCGGCTGTACTGTGATCACAAAAGATTACAAAGAATATATAACACATAAGAAATCTCACGGTCAGCCCTTCATCTATGAATGCAAAGTGCCCAGTTGTGGACGGACATTCCACCATGGTTCATCATTTCGCAATCACAAGCAAACGCATGAACCTCATCCTCAGTGCGAGGGTTGTGGCAAATTCTTTACCAGTAGGAATCAGCTACTGTATAATCACCAGAAGCATTGCCAAACAAATTTTCGTTAGTTTGCAAATTTAGCAGAATTTTAAAAGTATATGTCAGCCTAAAGTAGAATGCATTGGAATATGTTATAAAACATTTGTGTCACAATGAAACGGAAAATTCATAATTACACTATTTTTGCAACTATATCTGAACATAGTTAAACAGCTTCTTACGATCTAAATTATTTGAATGAGATTTTGGTAATACTTTTATGATTTATCAGATTACTTAATTAGCTGTCGAACACTACAATAGAACAGTAACAAAAAAAATAACACGACAATTCTTAAGGCGAACGAAGCTACGAATGCCTTTATCCCGGATGTACTATGATCACGAAAAATTACAAAGAATATGTAATACATAAAAAAACACATGGTCAACCCTTCATCTATGAATGCAGAGTGTCCGGTTGCGAGCGAATATTCCAGCATAAATCATCATTTTGCAATCACAAGCAAACGCATGAACCTCATCATCAATGCAAGTGCTGTGGAAAATTCTTCAGCACCATGTATGGACTACAAAGACATAAGAAGCTCTGCCCAACAAAATTTCGTTAGTTTGCAAATTTAGCAAACTTTTGAGCACACATATTAGCCTGAAATAAAATTGAAATGTGTTATGAAACATCCGTGATCGCTGAGTGACAATACAACAGAAAAATCTCAATTACATTTTTTGTTGTAGCTATACACCAAGATAATTAAGCATCTTTTTGTGATCTAAATTATTTGAAAATCATACTGGAATGCTAATTACAAAAACAAATGTCAATTTTTTTAGATAAACAAGGTTATGAATGCCTTTATCCTGGATGTGCTGTGATCTCGAAAAGTTACAACGATAATATAAAGCATAAAGAAACACACAATGGACCTTTCATCTATGAATGCAAAGTGCCCAGTTGTGGACGGGCATTCCACCATGAATCATCATTTTGCAATCACAAGCAAACGCATGAACCTCGTCCTCAGTGCGAGGGCTGTGGCAAATTCTTCATCAGTAGGAATGGACTGCATTGTCATAAAAAGAGCTGCAAATCCCGTTAGTTTCCAAATTTAGCAAAATTTTAAACAGATATGTCAACCTGAAATAGAATGTGTGTGAAATGTATTATGAAACATTTGCGCGAACGCTGGGTGACAATACAAAATTCATTAGACACACTCATTAAGATGCTATATATTTTTTTTTGCACTCAGTACTACTACACACGACCTAAGAATCAATTGCTTAAAAATGTGTTGACAGTGGTGACAATGGCGCTTCAATATACAAACATCAACAAACATTGAAAATATCCTTTCACTCTTAATCAAATTGTTTTATTTTCCTAATTCGTGGAACGTATGCGGAAAAGCATATTATTCTATCCACAAAGCCAAACTACGACAAACTGCAATAATTTTTTTTTGGCGTTATAAAATTAAAAATTTTCATTCTAGAAAATGAGACACAATTTGGGCATTCTTCGCATGCATGAGAAAAGAGCGTAACAATCGGACGTTTTCGAGGCATCAGAATGCGGTGGCCAATTTATAATTTTATTTTATCATTGTGTTTTATAATATTTCATCTTTATTTAATATTCCATGAATATCACAGAAATGCATAAATGTACTAATTGGCAATAAAATTCGGGGGCAAGCATTTAAATGTACAAAATGCGTTCACAACTGAAATAAACGATTTGTTATGCAAAAAACCAACATGAAAAAGCATCATAAATGAGAAGCTAAAAATTTATAACAAAAATTGGCATCACGAAGTGGTTTTAAGCAAAGAAATGGTTTTTTTTCCTATATATATGAAAATTATAAGAAAAAATTTTCCACCTATAATTTAGCCTAACCTTAACATTCAAAATAAATGGCAGATATTATGTTTAATGAAAAAATTTCCCCGGGTATCCGACACTAAAAAATTTTGTAAGTTAATCGTTGAAAAGTGAATGTAGAAAAACATCAAAGATTTACAATCATCACAAGAACAATATTACTTTCCTATATATGAAAGGTACTGTTTCATATCTAATACAGAAGGTGACAAAACCAACATTTATCATCAAAATCAAAATTGTCGTCAAAAAGAGCAACAAATGTGCAGTTATTCCAATAAAATATGCAATTTTTCATGTAATCATATCATATGGAAAAGGATTAGGATGACATTTGCATTTGAGCCTAGGGTTAGGCTTAGGATGATACCTATACTTACACCATTAGAAGCTGCAACATTTTTCTCTTCATTATCACTCGCTCAGATGTATTATAACCATTCAATATACTATATTTTATTAAACAAAGCAGACAGGATTATTTAATACTGCACAATTGATTAAATATTTCACCATACGATGACATTTAATCCCAGCTATTCATCAATTTCATTTATGCAAATGTTACTCCATTTTGTCAACCAAACTTTTGAAAATTGTCCCATCTTTTCAAACATCGCTTATGTTGAAATTCTTTTTGATAATAGCAGTGGAATATGTCAAAAAGCAATAATTAGCAAATTTCAGGTGATGCGTCCATCCGACGAAGTTCCCATCAGTGATATTATCAATAGGTGTGTGGATGCGACTTTATTAAATGAACCCATTAAATCGAAAATGATTAGAATCTCATTCCTCACGTCGTATTACTGAAATGATGGAACAATATCCTTCCTAAGTAATCCTTTCGGATTCAAAAGAGCATTCATAAACTACCAGTTGGGCGAGAGAAAAACGAAAATGTAAAAGAAAAAAAAAAAAAAAACGATAAACAACAGGCAGATTAAAAACTGTTTGAACCTTTGATCTTTAATTGAAATAAAAAGCTTTCATTTGAATATTTCTGTCATTTCATAAAATTCTGTCCCATCATGTTCTTCACTGTATCTATAACACCAATCATCTGGTTCAATCTTCTGCTTTGCATCGCTTCTAATAAAAATGAAACTTCCCATCTACCTAATTTTGGTGCTGCTGATAAAATTGTTACAAATAATACTTATTCTGATATCTCAGACAGCTTTGATTACAACAATTTTGAGCCATTGTTTGGCTCAGAATTTCCATCCGATCCTTCGCAGTTGATTGATTTCGATCAGTTGAGTGAAATTGAGGATATAAGTAGCAAAGAATCGATACCCGAGATCACAAATGCTCCTCATCCTGGCTTTTCAAACAGCCATGGTTTGTTGGGCCACACTAATTTGGGCTCATTACTTGGTTCATATACAGATTCAAATAGGAATGTGTGGAGAGATGCTAATCCGATCTATTTTCACCAACTTACTCTTTCCCCAGATGACACAACCGATCAACACGGAAATGCTGAACAGAATAACATGGGCAAGAAACACTTCTCGGATAACTTGATTGTCCGCGACTACAGGGAAAATGAAGGATCAGAAACAAGTAATGGCAAATTGCATTTTTACTTTCATCCAATCCATAAAATTAAACATATCTATCTCACTAAAACAAAAAATCTACAATTATCGATCGAAATTCCAGAAGTAACTTAAAAGTATAATTTTTACTTCAAATATGTGAGATGATGATATAGACAAATGCTTAGTACCTAAGATATTGAAATCTAAGTTATTTAGATACTCAAAGTGGAACTTCTTCGCCACTTAATGTCGACACAGATGACATTATTACATATATGCACTTACCTGGTTCACAACAAAATGCGGTTCCGATCTATTTTCACCAACTTATTCTTTCCCCAGATGACACATCCGATCAACACGGAAATGCTGAACAGAATAACATGGGCAATAAGCACTTCTCGGATCACTTGATTGTCCCCGACTACAGGGAAAATACCAATGAACGATCAGAAACAGGTAATGACAAATTACATAACGATTTCTCGCTCTATCTTTTATAGTTCTTTATTTTCATCAGCAGCATGAAATTGATGAAGCGACATTAAAAGTATGGTTTTTACTTTATATATGTGAGAAGATAAATAAACTTTCTATCTAAGTTATTCAAAATGCAATATGATACTTTTTTTTATGGCACTGACATTTTTGTGATTTTCACATTACTTAACTACAAAATGGTGTAATAGATTTATTAATTGCAAAAATACATTTTTTGACATGGATTTTTCAGATAACAAAAAGTATATTTGTCATTATCCCGGCTGTACTGTGATCACAAAAAATTACAAAGAATATATAACACATAAGAAATCTCACGGTCAGCCCTTCATCTATGAATGCAAAGTGCCCAGTTGTGGGCGGACATTCGACCATGAATCATCATTTTGTTGTCACATACATACACATCAACCTAAGCATCAATGCAAAAACTGCGGCAAACTCTTTAGTAGAAAGAGTATACTACAAAGACACAACAAGCACTGTGGCACACCACCTCGTTAGTATAACAAATTTTTTTTTTTAAATTCGAAAAAAACTTTTTTTTTGAAAAACAATATTTAAAAACGTTCAATTTAAAATATAATGGATGTGGAAATATATTTCAAAACATCGGTGACCATGGTGTAGCAATATACAATTCAGAAAATGCTGCGACATTTTTCTAACCTCAGTTTCTTTTATATATAACAAAAGTCCTGTGGCAGGCAGTCAGCATATCGTAGCAACTGATGTTTTAATATCGCGACAGACTAATCACTTGTCCATTACTCGATTACTTGAAGTCGGGAGTACAAAGAATGACGAAAACTAAACCTAATTTCGCCACAACAGAAAATTCACAATCATTTGTTGTATGAGGTCTTTCCATTAGAAGTAGCATCAAAAGTAAAAAGTAATACCAAAAGTTTTGTTTCAAATATATCAGAAGATAAATAAGCAGATTTTTATAATTTAAGTAATTTGAAATGAGATATGGTAAGATTATTTTATGCACTGACATTTTTATGGTTATTTTTCACATGGATTAATAACTGCAAAAACCAATATCATAAGATTTTTTTAGGCGAACAAAGCTACGAATGCCTTTATCCCGGATGTACTATGGTAACAAAAAATTACAGTGAATATGTAGCACATAGGAAAACACATGGTCAACCCTTCATCTATGAATGCAGAGTGCCCGGTTGCGAGCGAATATTCCAGCATGAATCATCATTTTGCAATCACAAGCAAACGCATGAACCTCATCATCAATGCAAGTGCTGCGGAAAATTCTTCAGCACCATGTATGGACTACAAAGACATAAGAAGCTCTGCCCAACAAAATTTCGTTAGTTTGCAAATTTAGCAAACTTTTGAGCACACATATTAGCCTGAAATAAAATTGAAATGTGTTATGAAACATCCGTGATCGCTGAGTGACAATACAACAGAAAAATCTCAATTACATTTTTTGTTGTAGCTATACACCAAGATAATTAAGCATCTTTTTGTGATCTAAATTATTTGAAAATCATACTGGAATGCTAATTACAAAAACAAATGTCAATTTTTTTAGATAGACAAGGTTATAAATGCCATTATCCTGGATGTGCTGTGATCTCGAAAAGTTACAACGATAATATAAAGCATAAAGAAACACACAATGGACCTTTCATCTATGAATGCAAAGTGCCCAGTTGTGGACGGGCATTCCACCATGAATCATCATTTTGCAATCACAAGCAAACGCATGAACCTCGTCCTCAGTGCGAGGGCTGTGGCAAATTCTTCATCAGTAGGAATGGACTGCATTGTCATAAAAAGAGCTGCAAATCCCGTTAGTTTCCAAATTTAGCAAAATTTTAAACAGATATGTCAACCTGAAATAGAATGTGTGTGAAATGTATTATGAAACATTTGCGCGAACGCTGGGTGACAATACAAAATTCATTAGACACACTCATTAAGATGCTATATATTTTTTTTTGCACTCAGTACTACTACACACGACCTAAGAATCAATTGCTTAAAAATGTGTTGACAGTGGTGACAATGGCGCTTCAATATACAAACATCAACAAACATTGAAAATATCCTTTCACTCTTAATCAAATTGTTTTATTTTCCTAATTCGTGGAACGTATGCGGAAAAGCATATTATTCTATCCACAAAGCCAAACTACGACAAACTGCAATAATTTTTTTTTGGCGTTATAAAATTAAAAATTTTCATTCTAGAAAACGAGACAAAATCTGAGCATTCTTCGCATGCATGAAAAAAGAGCGTAACAATCGGACGTTTTCGAGGCATCAGAATGCGGTGGCCAATTTATAATTTTATTTTATCATTGTGTTTTATAATATTTCATCTTTATTTAATATTCCATGAATATCACAGAAATGCATAAATGTACTAATTGGCAATAAAATTCGGGGGCAAGCATTTAAATGTACAAAATGCGTTCACAACTGAAATAAACGATTTGTTATGCAAAAAACCAACATGAAAAAGCATCATAAATGAGAAGCTAAAAATTTATAACAAAAATTGGCATCACGAAGTGGTTTTAAGCAAAGAAATGGTTTTTTTTCCTATATATATGAAAATTATAAGAAAAAATTTTCCACCTATAATTTAGCCTAACCTTAACATTCAAAATAAATGGCAGATATTATGTTTAATGAAAAAATTTCCCCGGGTATCCGACACTAAAAAATTTTGTAAGTTAATCGTTGAAAAGTGAATGTAGAAAAACATCAAAGATTTACAATCATCACAAGAACAATATTACTTTCCTATATATGAAAGGTACTGTTTCATATCTAATACAGAAGGTGACAAAACCAACATTTATCATCAAAATCAAAATTGTCGTCAAAAAGAGCAACAAATGTGCAGTTATTCCAATAAAATATGCAATTTTTCATGTAATCATATCATATGGAAAAGGATTAGGATGACATTTGCATTTGAGCCTAGGGTTAGGCTTAGGATGATACCTATACTTACACCATTAGAAGCTGCAACATTTTTCTCTTCATTATCACTCGCTCAGATGTATTATAACCATTCAATATACTATATTTTATTAAACAAAGCAGACAGGATTATTTAATACTGCACAATTGATTAAATATTTCACCATACGATGACATTTAATCCCAGCTATTCATCAATTTCATTTATGCAAATGTTACTCCATTTTGTCAACCAAACTTTTGAAAATTGTCCCATCTTTTCAAACATCGCTTATGTTGAAATTCTTTTTGATAATAGCAGTGGAATATGTCAAAAAGCAATAATTAGCAAATTTCAGGTGATGCGTCCATCCGACGAAGTTCCCATCAGTGATATTATCAATAGGTGTGTGGATGCGACTTTATTAAATGAACCCATTAAATCGAAAATGATTAGAATCTCATTCCTCACGTCGTATTACTGAAATGATGGAACAATATCCTTCCTAAGTAATCCTTTCGGATTCAAAAGAGCATTCATAAACTACCAGTTGGGCGAGAGAAAAACGAAAATGTAAAAGAAAAAAAAAAAAAAAAACGATAAACAACAGGCAGATTAAAAACTGTTTGAACCTTTGATCTTTAATTGAAATAAAAAGCTTTCATTTGAATATTTCTGTCATTTCATAAAATTCTGTCCCATCATGTTCTTCACTGTATCTATAACACCAATCATCTGGTTCAATCTTCTGCTTTGCATCGCTTCTAATAAAAATGAAACTTCCCATCTACCTAATTTTGGTGCTGCTGATAAAATTGTTACAAATAATACTTATTCTGATATCTCAGACAGCTTTGATTACAACAATTTTGAGCCATTGTTTGGCTCAGAATTTCCATCCGATCCTTCGCAGTTGATTGATTTCGATCAGTTGAGTGAAATTGAGGATATAAGTAGCAAAGAATCGATACCCGAGATCACAAATGCTCCTCATCCTGGCTTTTCAAACAGCCATGGTTTGTTGGGCCACACTAATTTGGGCTCATTACTTGGTTCATATACAGATTCAAATAGGAATGTGTGGAGAGATGCTAATCCGATCTATTTTCACCAACTTACTCTTTCCCCAGATGACACAACCGATCAACACGGAAATGCTGAACAGAATAACATGGGCAAGAAACACTTCTCGGATAACTTGATTGTCCGCGACTACAGGGAAAATGAAGGATCAGAAACAAGTAATGGCAAATTGCATTTTTACTTTCATCCAATCCATAAAATTAAACATATCTATCTCACTAAAACAAAAAATCTACAATTATCGATCGAAATTCCAGAAGTAACTTAAAAGTATAATTTTTACTTCAAATATGTGAGATGATGATATAGACAAATGCTTAGTACCTAAGATATTGAAATCTAAGTTATTTAGATACTCAAAGTGGAACTTCTTCGCCACTTAATGTCGACACAGATGACATTATTACATATATGCACTTACCTGGTTCACAACAAAATGCGGTTCCGATCTATTTTCACCAACTTATTCTTTCCCCAGATGACACATCCGATCAACACGGAAATGCTGAACAGAATAACATGGGCAATAAGCACTTCTCGGATCACTTGATTGTCCCCGACTACAGGGAAAATACCAATGAACGATCAGAAACAGGTAATGACAAATTACATAACGATTTCTCGCTCTATCTTTTATAGTTCTTTATTTTCATCAGCAGCATGAAATTGATGAAGCGACATTAAAAGTATGGTTTTTACTTTATATATGTGAGAAGATAAATAAACTTTCTATCTAAGTTATTCAAAATGCAATATGATACTTTTTTTTATGGCACTGACATTTTTGTGATTTTCACATTACTTAACTACAAAATGGTGTAATAGATTTATTAATTGCAAAAATACATTTTTTGACATGGATTTTTCAGATAACAAAAAGTATATTTGTCATTATCCCGGCTGTACTGTGATCACAAAAAATTACAAAGAATATATAACACATAAGAAATCTCACGGTCAGCCCTTCATCTATGAATGCAAAGTGCCCAGTTGTGGGCGGACATTCGACCATGAATCATCATTTTGTTGTCACATACATACACATCAACCTAAGCATCAATGCAAAAACTGCGGCAAACTCTTTAGTAGAAAGAGTATACTACAAAGACACAACAAGCACTGTGGCACACCACCTCGTTAGTATAACAAATTTTTTTTTTTAAATTCGAAAAAAACTTTTTTTTTGAAAAACAATATTTAAAAACGTTCAATTTAAAATATAATGGATGTGGAAATATATTTCAAAACATCGGTGACCATGGTGTAGCAATATACAATTCAGAAAATGCTGCGACATTTTTCTAACCTCAGTTTCTTTTATATATAACAAAAGTCCTGTGGCAGGCAGTCAGCATATCGTAGCAACTGATGTTTTAATATCGCGACAGACTAATCACTTGTCCATTACTCGATTACTTGAAGTCGGGAGTACAAAGAATGACGAAAACTAAACCTAATTTCGCCACAACAGAAAATTCACAATCATTTGTTGTATGAGGTCTTTCCATTAGAAGTAGCATCAAAAGTAAAAAGTAATACCAAAAGTTTTGTTTCAAATATATCAGAAGATAAATAAGCAGATTTTTATAATTTAAGTAATTTGAAATGAGATATGGTAAGATTATTTTATGCACTGACATTTTTATGGTTATTTTTCACATGGATTAATAACTGCAAAAACCAATATCATAAGATTTTTTTAGGCGAACAAAGCTACGAATGCCTTTATCCCGGATGTACTATGGTAACAAAAAATTACAGTGAATATGTAGCACATAGGAAAACACATGGTCAACCCTTCATCTATGAATGCAGAGTGCCCGGTTGCGAGCGAATATTCCAGCATGAATCATCATTTTGCAATCACAAGCAAACGCATGAACCTCATCATCAATGCAAGTGCTGCGGAAAATTCTTCAGCACCATGTATGGACTACAAAGACATAAGAAGCTCTGCCCAACAAAATTTCGTTAGTTTGCAAATTTAGCAAACTTTTGAGCACACATATTAGCCTGAAATAAAATTGAAATGTGTTATGAAACATCCGTGATCGCTGAGTGACAATACAACAGAAAAATCTCAATTACATTTTTTGTTGTAGCTATACACCAAGATAATTAAGCATCTTTTTGTGATCTAAATTATTTGAAAATCATACTGGAATGCTAATTACAAAAACAAATGTCAATTTTTTTAGATAGACAAGGTTATAAATGCCATTATCCTGGATGTGCTGTGATCTCGAAAAGTTACAACGATAATATAAAGCATAAAGAAACACACAATGGACCTTTCATCTATGAATGCAAAGTGCCCAGTTGTGGGCGGACATTCCACCATGAATCATCATTTCACAGTCACAAGAAGACACATAAACCTCATCCTCAGTGCGAGGGTTGTGGCAAATTCTTTTACCGTATGGATGTACTGAAGTCTCACAAGAAAGTGTGCTCCAGAGCTCCTCGTTAGTTTTCCAAAGTTAACAAAACTTATGTCACCTTAAAATAGAGTAGGTGTGAAATGTGTTATGAAAGATTTGTGACCGTTGAGTGACAATACAAAATTCATTAGACACACTCATTAAGATGCTATATATTTTTTTTTGCACTCAGTACTACTACACACGACCTAAGAATCAATTGCTTAAAAATGTGTTGACAGTAGTGACAATGGCGCTTCAATATACAAACATCAACAAACATTGAAAATATCCTTTCACTCTTAATCAAATTGCTTTATTTTCCTAATTCGTGGAACGTATGCGGAAAAGCATATTATTCTATCCACAAAGCCAAACTACGACAAACTGCAATAATTTTTTTTTGGCGTTATAAAATTAAAAATTTTCATTCTAGAAAACGAGACAAAATCTGAGCATTCTTCGCATGCATGAAAAAAGAGCGTAACAATCGGACGTTTTCGAGGCATCAGATTGTAGCGACCGATTAATGATTTCATTTTACCATTGCATTTTTTAAATATTTCTTCTCTATTTATTATTCCATGAATATCACAGAAATGCATAAATGTACTAATTGGCAATAAAATTCGGGGGCAAGCATTTAAATGTACAAAATGCGTTCACAACTGAAATAAACGATTTGTTATGCAAAAAACCAACATGAAAAAGCATCATAAATGAGAAGCTAAAAATTTATAACAAAAATTGGCATCACGAAGTGGTTTTAAGCAAAGAAATGGTTTTTTTTCCTATATATATGAAAATTATAAGAAAAAATTTTCCACCTATAATTTAGCCTAACCTTAACATTCAAAATAAATGGCAGATATTATGTTTAATGAAAAAATTTCCCCGGGTATCCGACACTAAAAAATTTTGTAAGTTAATCGTTGAAAAGTGAATGTAGAAAAACATCAAAGATTTACAATCATCACAAGAACAATATTACTTTCCTATATATGAAAGGTACTGTTTCATATCTAATACAGAAGGTGACAAAACCAACATTTATCATCAAAATCAAAATTGTCGTCAAAAAGAGCAACAAATGTGCAGTTATTCCAATAAAATATGCAATTTTTCATGTAATCATATCATATGGAAAAGGATTAGGATGACATTTGCATTTGAGCCTAGGGTTAGGCTTAGGATGATACCTATACTTACACCATTAGAAGCTGCAACATTTTTCTCTTCATTATCACTCGCTCAGATGTATTATAACCATTCAATATACTATATTTTATTAAACAAAGCAGACAGGATTATTTAATACTGCACAATTGATTAAATATTTCACCATACGATGACATTTAATCCCAGCTATTCATCAATTTCATTTATGCAAATGTTACTCCATTTTGTCAACCAAACTTTTGAAAATTGTCCCATCTTTTCAAACATCGCTTATGTTGAAATTCTTTTTGATAATAGCAGTGGAATATGTCAAAAAGCAATAATTAGCAAATTTCAGGTGATGCGTCCATCCGACGAAGTTCCCATCAGTGATATTATCAATAGGTGTGTGGATGCGACTTTATTAAATGAACCCATTAAATCGAAAATGATTAGAATCTCATTCCTCACGTCGTATTACTGAAATGATGGAACAATATCCTTCCTAAGTAATCCTTTCGGATTCAAAAGAGCATTCATAAACTACCAGTTGGGCGAGAGAAAAACGAAAATGTAAAAGAAAAAAAAAAAAAAACGATAAACAACAGGCAGATTAAAAACTGTTTGAACCTTTGATCTTTAATTGAAATAAAAAGCTTTCATTTGAATATTTCTGTCATTTCATAAAATTCTGTCCCATCATGTTCTTCACTGTATCTATAACACCAATCATCTGGTTCAATCTTCTGCTTTGCATCGCTTCTAATAAAAATGAAACTTCCCATCTACCTAATTTTGGTGCTGCTGATAAAATTGTTACAAATAATACTTATTCTGATATCTCAGACAGCTTTGATTACAACAATTTTGAGCCATTGTTTGGCTCAGAATTTCCATCCGATCCTTCGCAGTTGATTGATTTCGATCAGTTGAGTGAAATTGAGGATATAAGTAGCAAAGAATCGATACCCGAGATCACAAATGCTCCTCATCCTGGCTTTTCAAACAGCCATGGTTTGTTGGGTCGCACTAATTTGGGCTCATTACTTGGTTCATATACAGATTCAAATAGGAATGTGTGGAGAGATGCTAATGGAGAATTAAAAACAAATGATGATAAAGCACGATATCCTATCATTAGAGGTGAGACTTTTGCTTCAAATGTGTGAAAAGTGAACAGCTTCTTGTGATCTAAGTTATTTAGATGCTCAAAGTGAAACTTCTTCGCCACTTAATGTCGACACCGATGACATTATTACATATATGCACTTACCTGGTTCACAACAAAATGCGGTTCCGATCTATTTTCACCAACTTACTCTTTCCCCAGATGACACATCCGATCAACACGGAAATGCTGAACAGAACAATATGGGCAATAAGCACTTCTCGGATAACTTGATTGTCCCCGACTACAGGAAAATACCAATGAACGATCAGAAACAGGTAATGACAAATTACATAACGATTTCTCGCTCTATCTTTTATAGTTCTTTATTTTCATCAGCAGCATGAAATTGATGAAGCGACATTAAAAGTATGGTTTTTACTTTATATATGTGAGAAGATAAATAAACTTTCTATCTAAGTTATTCAAAATGCAATATGATACTTTTTTTATGGCACTGACATTTTTGTGATTTTCACATTACTTAACTACAAAATGGTGTAATAGATTTATTAATTGCAAAAATACATTTTTTGACATGGATTTTTCAGATAACAAAAAGTATATTTGTCATTATCCCGGCTGTACTGTGTTCACAAAAGATTACAAAGAATATATAACACATAAGAAATCTCACGGTCAGCCCTTCATCTATGAATGCAAAGTGCCCAGTTGTGGACGGGACATTCCACCATGGTTCATCATTTCGCAATCACAAGCAAACGCATGAACCTCATCCTCAGTGCGAGGGTTGTGGCAAATTCTTTACCAGTAGGAATCAGCTACTGTATAATCACCAGAAGCATGCCAAACAAATTTTCGTTAGTTTGCAAATTTAGCAGAATTTTAAAAGTATATGTCAGCCTAAAGTAGAATGCATTGGAATATGTTATAAAACATTTGTGTCACAATGAAACGGAAAATTCATAATTACACTATTTTTGCAACTATATCTGAACATAGTTAAACAGCTTCTTACGATCTAAATTATTTGAATGAGATTTTGGTAATACTTTTATGATTTATCAGATTACTTAATTAGCTGTCGAACACTACAATAGAACAGTAACAAAAAAAATAACACGACAATTCTTAAGGCGAACGAAGCTACGAATGCCTTTATCCGGATGTACTATGATCACGAAAAAATTACAAAGAATATGTAATACATAAAAAACACATGGTCAACCTTCATCTATGAATGCAGAGTGTCGGTTGCGAGCGAATATTCCAGCATAAATCATCATTTTGCAATCACAAGCAAACGCATGAACCTCATCATCAATGCAAGTGCTGTGGAAAATTCTTCAGCACCATGTATGGACTACAAAGACATAAGAAGCTCTGCCCAACAAAATTTCGTTAGTTTGCAAATTTAGCAAACTTTTGAGCACACATATTAGCCTGAAATAAAATTGAAATGTGTTATGAAACATCCGTGATCGCTGAGTGACAATACAACAGAAAAATCTCAATTACATTTTTTGTTGTAGCTATACACCAAGATAATTAAGCATCTTTTTGTGATCTAAATTATTTGAAAATCATACTGGAATGCTAATTACAAAAACAAATGTCATTTTTTTAGATAAACAAGGTTATGAATGCCTTTATCCTGGATGTGCTGTGATCTCGAAAAGTTACAACGATAATATAAAGCATAAAGAAACACACAATGGACCTTTCATCTATGAATGCAAAGTGCCAGTTGTGGGCGGACATTCCACCATGAATCATCATTCGCAGTCACAAGAAGACACATAAACCTCATCCTCAGTGCGAGGGTTGTGGCAAATTCTTTTACCGTATGGATGTACTGAAGTCTCACAAGAAAGTGTGCTCCAGAGCTCCTCGTTAGTTTTCCAAAGTTAACAAAACTTATGTCACCTTAAAATAAAGTAGGTGTGAAATGTGTTATGAAAGATTTGTGACCGTTGAGTGACAATACAAAATTCATTAGACACACTCATTAAGATGCTATATATTTTTTTTTGCACTCAGTACTACTACACACGACCTAAGAATCAATTGCTTAAAAATGTGTTGACAGTGGTGACAATGGCGCTTCAATATACAAACATCAACAAACATTGAAAAATATCCTTTCACTCTTAATCAAATTGTTTTATTTTCCTAATTCGTGGAACGTATGCGGAAAAGCATATTATTCTATCCACAAAGCCAAACTACGACCAAACTGCAATAATTTTTTTTTGGCGTTATAAAATTAAAAATTTTCATTCTAGAAAATGAGACACAATTTGGGCATTCTTCGCATGCATGAGAAAAGAGCGTAACATCGGACGTTTTCGAGGCATCAGAATGCCGGTGGCCAATTTATAATTTTTATTTTATCATTGTGTTTTATAATATTTCATCTTTATTTAATATTCCATGAATATCACAGAAATGCATAAATGTACTAATTGGCAATAAAATTCGGGGGCAGCATTTAAATGTACAAAATGCGTTCACAACTGAAATAAACGATTTGTTATGCAAAAAACCAACATGAAAAAGCATCATAAATGAGAAGCTAAAAATTTATAACAAAAATTGGCATCACGAAGTGGTTTTAAGCAAAAGAAATGGTTTTTTTTCCTATATATATGAAATTATAAGAAAAATTTTCCACCTATAATTTAGCCTAACCTTAACATTCAAAATAAATGGCAGATATTATGTTTAATGAAAAAATTTCCCCGGGTATCCGACACTAAAAAATTTTGTAAGTTAATCGTTGAAAAGTGAATGTAGAAAAACATCAAAGATTTACAATCATCACAAGACAATATTACTTTCCTATATATGAAAAGGTACTGTTTCATATCTAATACAGAAGGTGACAAAACCAACATTTATCATCAAAATCAAAATTGTCGTCAAAAAGAGCAACAAATGTGCAGTTATTCCAATAAAATATGCAATTTTTCATGTAATCATATCATATGGAAAAGGATTAGGATGACATTTGCATTTGACCTAGGGTTAGGCTTAGGATGATACCTATACTTACACCATTAGAAGCTGCAAACATTTTTCTCTTCATTATCACTCGCTCAGATGTATTATAACCATTCAATATACTATATTTTATTAAACAAAGCAGACAGGATTATTTAATACTGCACAATTGATTAAATATTTC